GCAGAAAATTTTGAAGCAGAATCTAGAGAAAGAAAGAAATTAAGAGTCTTAAGCAATGAAGAACGCATGTCTATTTATCATGAGCTACTACAAAAAAGCGTTGATGGACAATTACGTAAAGGAGCTACAAATGAGGTGGCTTCATCAAATTCGGTTCCTATAAGAACTGTTCAACGTATTTGGAAAAGAGCAAAAGAAAGTGAAACGCGTGATGTCTCTCATAGGAAGATAAAAAATTGTGGACGTAAGAGAATTTCAATTGATGAGAATCAAATTCGTGAACTTCCTTTCAGTCAAAGAACAAACATTCGATCTTTAGCTTTTGGGTTGAAAACCAATCCAACATCGGTGTCCAGGCTTATAAAATCAGGGCTTATACGGCGTAATTCAAATGCCATAAAACCATTATTGAAAGAAGAAAACAAAATGTCTAGGCTGGAATTTTGTTTATCAATGCTTGAAGGTACACCACATGATCCAATGTTTAAAAGCATGCACAATATTATTCATATTGATGAAAAATGGTTTTATATGACTAAAAAATCCGAGAAGTATTATTTGCTCCCAGATGAAGATGAGCCATATCGAACATGTAAGAGCAAAAATTTCATTGCCAAAGTTATGTTCTTAGTTGCTCAAACTCGGCCACGATTTGACGCAGGAGAAAATGAAACTTTTTCGGGTAAAATTGGTGTTTTCCAGTTTGTTACCCATGAACCGGCTCAAAGGTCAAGTATTAACAGAGTTGCAGGAACAATGGTAACAAAAGCAATAACTTCGGTTAAGAGAGATGTGGTAAGATCATTCCTTATTGACAAAGTCCTACCGGCTATAAGAGAAAAATGGCCAAGAGATGACTTGAAGTCAACAATATTTATTCAGCAGGATAACGCAAGGACACATATAAACCATAATGATCCTTTGTTCTGTGAGGCTGCTACCAAGGATGGGTTTGATATTCGTTTAATGTGTCAGCCTGCAAACTCTCCAGATTTAAATATCTTAGATCTTGGGTTTTTCTCGGCTATACAATCATTGCAATACAAGGAAGCACCAAAAACTATTGATCAACTTATCGATGCAGTGGTGAAGTAATTTGAAAATTTTCCTTCAATTATGTCCAATCGTATATTTGTATCATTGCAATTATGCATGGTAGAGATCATGAAAGTGACAGGTTCCAATAAATATAAAATTCCTCATATAAATAAGGAAAGGCTAGAAAGAATAGGACAACTACCAATTCAAATTAAGTGTGATCCAATATTAATACAAGAAGTCAAGAATTACTTAAACATGGAGTAACACTTATTGTAAGTGGGATGTAGTCACATTTGAGATTTTCAAATAGAGTTTTTTTTTTAAGTTTATGGATTGTACTCCTAAAATTTAGTTTATGGAGTAACAAATTTAGTTACAGTAACTTTTGCCATAAATATAGTTTATGGATGTAGTCACTTTTTTCATATGTATTGTGCGTGAGAATCAAGTTTATATTTTCCTAAACTTTTGCCATAAAAAGTTACAGTAACTTCCTAAACTTTAACAAATCTCCTGCACGTAACTTCCTAAACATGAGAATTAAGTTTATATTATCGATGCAGTAGAGTAACATTTAAAAATTAATCAAATTAACAAAAAAACGTGATATCTAAAAACTCTCACGTTGGAATTCTTCAATTTTTCATTTCTTCAATCATTCATGCACGTGAGTGGCATATACAGGTAGCGCGGTAGCATGAGCCATAAATCTTTACATATAGCTTTTAGTTAATGATTAAAGAAGGTCTTTTAGTAGTAGATTTTGCTACTAGTGTTGTAGTAGATTTTGTTATTGCTTTTGCTTATAATTTGTTGTTGTATTGTTGCTTGTTTTTTGTACTCGATTGTTATATGATTTTTTTATTAGTTTTTTAAGATTTTCATATGAATTTTCTTTTACTTTTATTTAAATTTTAATTATATATTCTTGTTTTTTTTATTTAACTTTGTTTATATCTTTGTTTCAAGTTTAAGAATTAAGTTCTCAAAAATAATCTATAGAAAATGATTATATCCATGTTTGTTAAGAGTTTGAAGAAAAATTCTTCTTAAGTATAAAGGTTTCAAGAAATAAAATAACTTCCAATAACTTCTATAATTTCAATAATTTTATTCTCATGTAAGAAGGTGAAAATGTTCATTCTCATAAAATTTCACATGATTTTTTTTATTAAAAAAATATAATTATTAATTTTTTTAAGAATATCAAATAATATGTCAAACACATTTTTTTTTAAAATACCAAGGAATCAAACTTCGTTATTTTTATTCTCGGGCAAGTTATTCTCGAAAATTTCTTTTGAATCCTTGAATTAAACACACCCATAGAATAATTTATTTTTTTAAATAATGAAGGGGGTGCAGAGAACAAAAGATATTTTTTTTTGCTCAAAGCATCTTTAAATCAAGTTTTTTAAGGGGGAACATGTTGGTTCAAGTAGTACAAAATAATATTGGAAATAAATTAAATCTTTATTTCATGAGTTAATCAGAAGAAAGTATGAGAAAAATTAATTAAAAAGATGATTATTTTATAAAAGATTGACAAGTATGGTTGGGTTGAGATGATTGTGCCCGGAAAGAAAGAGACTATATAGTTTGAAAAATAAGCACCCCACAAAGGTCTAGTAAGAATCGAGTGGGCATCACCTCTAGTCGCCTGACTACGACTTGTGTGCTTGACCCATATATGTGTTTACTATTTGATCCAGTTCACCCATACGTGGGAGACAAGGTGCCTAGGAGAAAGTCAATTGGACTGTAGAAACAAAAGAGGAAGCCGTCCTCCAATAACGGAGGAACAACCAATTTCCTCTACTCCAACGAACACATTGGGAAAGTAAAATAGTTTCTTCTCTACTACCCAGTCAAAGAAGCCATATATTTATACTTTAGCCGCAAGGTTTGAAGAGTGATTCACTAATTCTCATAGATTCAATATATAGAGCCTCTTACAACCATACACATGAGCAAACCCCCATTATTATATTTCACAAGTACAATTGGCGCCCATATTATGGCTCTAGTAAAACTAACATAGGCCCCTTGCTAAAGAATGATCACATTATTTTCCACAACCCATCATGGTGAGAATAGAGTATTATATTAGATAGATATTCTTCAAGCCATAATTAGTAGGGAGAATAATGAAACGAGTTGTTGAACTTTTCGATAAGGACAAAATTCAAAATTTTTGTAAAGTAGGGATTCATCACATCCCAAAAGGACAAAATTCAAAGGAAAACCTTTTGTTCGAACTAGCCAGTTCCAAAGTATGAGAGTGCAATAAAACCTTTATACACAAGACACTACTAAACCCTAACATAAACAACGAGGTAAATTTTATCGAAGGAGAAGTTAAAGGCGGACCACCACAATGTTGGATTACCCATACTGTAAAGTACTTAAATACAAGATCACCATCTAAAGACGAAAAGGAAGCATCAAGGATAAAAAGGAAATCTTGTTCGTACTCACTCATGGAAGGCCATCTATACTGATGAGGATTCACCATTCCTCTATTATAATGTTTAACAGAGAAAGAAGGAATATAAGATTTAGAGAAAACCCACAAAGGCTCGACAGGATAACACCAAGGTGGAAAAGCATTGGCAAAGAAAACCCTCAGGGATGAATATTTTGTCCAACCATTAACGAAGATGATGGGATACATGTTCAAAAATGTGGCAACTGCCATAAACATGGCGGCATATACCTCTCCCCCAACAAAAATGAGTAGCTTATCTTCTCCTTGACCATTTGCTTGGTGAGAAATGAATATCCTAGGGCCCTTCCCTAATCATCTCTCTTAAGTTGAATTTGTGATTGTCACTTACAGTTACTTCACAAAATGGATCGAGGTGGAGTCTTTAACAAAATTACGGGGCACAACCTTTTACGCTTCTTTAAAAGGATTGCTCTCCCTAGGTTCACTATCCTATAGACCGTGGTGACCGACAATGAAACTCAATTCACATATAGAAGATTCTGAGATTTTATGGAGGATTTGCAAGTAAGCCAACACTTTACATTCTTAGAACACCCTCAGGTTAAAGGCTAGGCCGAATCGGCAAATTGAGTTCTATGACGATCAACACTAAAGGAAATTAGACGGGGGAACTTCCACACTTTCATTGGGCATATTGGACCACCCATCATTTCTCCACAAAGGAGACACCCTTTCGACTTACATATGCAACTAAAGCAGTAATTCCTATCAAGATAGGAGAGCGGACCTAACAGACTTCACACCGCATCCTAGAAAAGTTAATAAAAACAAGTGTAGAGAAGAGATAAATCTCTATGAAAAATGTGTCGTCTTAAGGAGAGTCATCATAAATAGAAAATGGTATCAAAATACAACAAAAAAATCATTCCTAATTTTTTTATATAAAAAATCTCGTAGTAAAGAGCAAATACCAACAAACAAAATGAAACTTACACCTAATTGGATAGGGTTGTATAGGGTTGTCACAAACTCTAAAAAAAATGCTTACGTTTTGAAAGCTCTCACTAAACAAACAATTCAAAATATAAAATATAACTCATCAACAAGACAATAAGATATTTTACGATTAAGTTATAAATTTATATTGCAAGGAATAAATAAATTAATGGAAGTCAATTGATTCCTTTCTTTTAAACCTGCCAAATACAGTGCATTTTTTTGAATCATTCAAAATTAGTTATGAAGTCAAATTCCCACAAATATAAACATACACACTACATGAATCTTGAATAAATCTGTATGAAAATAACAATTAAATTATTTTGTTAAAGATATGAAAAAACAATACACTTGAGAAAAAAACCATCCATATAAACAAAAGAAAGAGAAAAAATAATCAAATAAAAATGAAACTATAAAAATAGTCACAAATATCCCTCTAATTTAGGATATGTACATGCAAGAATGGTTACATATTGATTGCTAAAGCTCTTATTTCAAGCTTATGATTTTAAGCTTCCCAACCTCTAAGGACAGTGGCCCTTGCTACACGGTTAACAGCTAGGGTAAATGCTCCCATACGAAGGTCACAGTTATGTGTTTTGCACATCTCTTTCACATCTTTGAAACCTTTTGTCATGTATCTCTTTAACTCATTGTTCACCTTTTCTTCTTCCCACATGAACCCTTGTATATTCTGATTAATCACATAATAACCAATATTCAATCTTATAATAGAAAAAGACACGTCAAACAGACACATTACTAATACATGTGATTGTGATAGATATTCTCTGCGCGTAACTGTATAGATTAATACATGTGTCTGTTGATTGATGTTTGTGTCTAGAATTCATATGTAATAAATTTTATTTAACTAAAATGATTACCTGCACCCACTCAAAGTAGCTAGCTGTAACTCCTCCTGAATTTGCAAATATATCAGGAAGGATAACAACACCTTTCTTTTTTAAAATCTGCAAAATATTTAATGTGGTTGTTAGAAAAGTGTAAAGTTAATTTATTTTAATTTTAATTTAATAAAAAAGAGAAAAAAAATACAAACTAACCTCATCAGCTTCTGGATCAGTTGGGTGATTGGCAGCTTCCACAATAAATTTGGCTTTAATCTCATTTGCATTTTCCCTACATCCACACAAAAAGTTGGAAAAACACTTAAAAAATAAGCTAAATCCATTGGAAATAAAAATCACTTAAATAAAAGCTAAAAGCTACTCAAAATCAAACTTACTTGTTGATGACTCCTCCAAGAGCTGCAGGAACAAGAACATCACAATCTTGAACCAAAATTGATTTGGGATCAATTGAATCACCACCATGAAATCCTTTAATTCCTTTGTTTTCTTTGGAATACTTAAGTAGACTTGGAATGTCAAGACCATTACTATTCTTTATAGCTCCAGTTATGTCACTCACAGCAACTATTTTTCCACCCTTTTCATTTATTAATTGTGCAGCCCAAGATCCTACATTTCCAAAACCCTACACAACATGATAACATGATTTTATGTCAAATTCAAAAAAATAATTAGTATCAAACACCATGGTTTTAAATTGTGGTCATTGCTATTGCTGCAATACATAATGCAACCGTTACGGCGCGAATTTTAGATTTTTGAAAAAATATTTTTTTTATGAAAATAAGTGAATAAATATGAGTGAAATATTTGATGTGATTTCTAATACGGCCTTATGTGTGATTTGAAATCATATTGCAATTGTACTCTGATGCGACTGTGGAGATTATCGGATTAATAATATTGTGGTTGTCAACTGAAATTTAAAACTATGCTAAAGACATTCTAAACATAAGATAAAACACTAATAGTTCAATTTCAAAATTTAAGAAAATTAATTAATTGAATAATTAATTTTAGATTAAAAGATTAATTAGGACAATTTTATACAAGGTTTTTACCTGTATGATAAACCGTTGACCAGATACATTCATTCCATATTCATTAAGCAAAGCTTCTGTTGCAAAGAGGACACCTCTTCCTGTAGCTGCATCTCTTCCTAGAGATCCACCAAGATCCTGATTTGAAAATGAAAAATTAGAATTAAAATTTGATTTATTAATTTAACTCCTATTAAAATTTAAATTATGAACAAAAATTAATAGACTTACTATAGGTTTTCCAGTAACTACTGCAGGAGAGTGACCATGAAATTTTGAATACTCATCTAATATCCATGCCATTGTCTACATTCAAAATCAAATAGGAAAATCGTATATCAGATGCGATGCAATTAAAAGTGTGCTTCTCTCAAGATTTCATGTTTGAATTTCGTCAAATAAAAATATTTTTTTAATATTTTATTGAGCTCTCGCTAGTAGACAGTGAGATTGATACTAACCTGTGGTCCAGTTCCCATGTCGGGTGCGGGAACATCAATATGAACTCCAATAAGATCATGAATTTTCTGAGTAAAAACCCTAGTAAGTCTTTCTAACTCAGAGACACTCAACTGAGAAGGATCACACCCTATGCCTCCTTTTGCACCACCATATGGTAGATTTGCAACTGATGTTTTCCATGTCATTAGTTGTGCTAATGCATTCACCTCATCTTGTTCAACCTCAGGATGATATCTTATCCCTCCTTTCATAGGTCCTCTAGAGTTATCATGTTGAATCCTAAATCCAACAAAAGTAGCCAAGGTTCCATCATCTTTTGGGATGCTACACTCAACCTACATTTACATTAAACAAAATTTAGATTTAAAACACAGACACCAAAAATACGACACAGACACTGATATGTCAGTAGTATCAGTGAACAGAATATACACATATTTTTTCATAGATGTTAGTGCTACGTAATTTTGTGGTTTCACTTACCTTAATTTCTCTGAATGGAATCAACAAACTTTTCTCAATTTTTGAATCCAAACCCAAAAGTCTTGAAGCCAACCTAAAGTTTCTGTTGGTGGCTGCTAATGCATTCATTGTAAAGTGATATTCAAGATGTGGAAAATAGATATTGAAGATGTGATGTTATACTTGGAGTTTATTATATATATAGCTATAGCTATTTTGGGGAAGAGAAAGAGAAATTCAAATTGTATTTTTGTAACTACATTAGAAAAAAAATAGTTCTTTTCCTTGAAAGTAGGATATACACGTAAGAACCCGCAAGCTAGATAGAGTTATATAAGGTCAACAAATAAATACTATATAATATAGTAAAAATAACATGTGGATCTAAGTCAGCAAAGAAATATTATCATGGTCTACAAACAATGTGAATGCAAAGAGATTTTTATTTTAATAAAGGAGACGTGTTCCAATGTTTGGATATGCTGTTGTGGTGGCGAAATTTATGTTAATCACGTTATTTTCAACAAATAATAAGAATATTTAAAATTTATCTAATGGTCAATATTTTCGGATACGTTTGTTTTGAAGAGGAAAAAAAACTAATGTAAAATAATTTCACACATTTAACCAATCATTATTATGTATTTTGTTAAGTTACATTGATGTTTTTTGTTTTTAAATTAGATATGTGACATGGTTGAATCATAAATTTTTATTAGATAATAATATAAAATTATTTTATGCGGTCAGTATATTATATTTAATCTTTAATTTTAAATTTTAAAAATAATTTTGTTTTGAAAGATTTTGTTTAAATTTTTTTCTCTAAATAACATGAAGATGTTATTATATAATTTCTTTTTAAGTACTTCTCCGGTCATTAAATAAGTGTCATCACCGTATGTATGCATCTTCACTACGATCTTCATCAAGATATCAACAATTTTATATTTGGTACAAAATAATGGCGTCATATGTAGCAATCGATTCTTTGATTCTCACGAGTATCTTTAATTTCACAATTGTTTCTAGTCTCACTTCTAATAGTTGCTTTGAAGACAACTCATATTTAAAGCGTCACCAATGGTCGATTTCGACCAACTGTTCAGATTCTTCAAGACCTAAAAAACGAAGTACCACAACGCCAAAGAAAAATAGTGTCGATGTGCACAAACCTGGAGGGAGCCAATCACTGCCACAAAGCTCTCTAGAGAAGCCTGGACGCGATCGTTGTCCAGGAGAAGAGGGAGGTGAAGAAGGCTAACATTTTCAAACACCACCCCTAGATGTCAACACCGAGGACTTCGACACCCATCTAGAGAAAGCTACGCCCAAGGACAAGTAAGACTCAAATAAATCTCTCCATGTTGAGACTCAAATGAACATACAAAGGCCAATCCTAGATGGTGACTTTGTGTCCATCCAAATCGATGATAATCCAACACGTACTATGGAATTTGGGGCATACCTTCCCAAATTTGTGGAAGACATGCTAATTAATTGGCTCAAAGTCAACCCATATTTATTTGTATGCCCCCAAGAAAATAATGGGAATTAACCCTAGCGTAACATGCCACCAGATGAACATAGACCCTTATGTAAAGTACACTTCCAAGAGAAGACATCGTTAATCACCAGAGAGAGCTAGACCCACCAATATTATTATGTATATGCACTTCCAAGTGAGCATTATATCAGAGCTAAACTACACACATTGGATAAAAAATTTGGTGTTGCTCAAGAAGGCGAGTGGAAAATAGCGCATTCCCATCGATGAAGCTAACATAAATAGAGCTTGCCAAAGACTTGTATCCCCAACTCAACATAGACAATTTGGTGGATGAATCATCCAAGTAAAATCTCTTGTCCTTCACGAATGCCTACTCCAAATATAACTAGCTCCTAATGCAAGGAAAGGACCAGAAATATAAGACAATGTTCATGATAGAGTACACAAACTACCAGTTCAATGTCATGCTTTTTGGTTAAAAAAATATAGGTGAAACTTACCAGAGAATTATGAACGAGATATTTGAGAAAGATATTTGGGACATTCCGAAGGTCTATATAGATGATATGATAGTAAAATCCATGAAGGAGAAACTCCATGAGGTCACCTCACTATAATGTTCAAATACATACGCTAGTTCAACATGAGATTGAATCCGAATAAGCACATATCTGGGGTCAAGGCTGAAAAATTCCTTGGATTCTATTTAACTAAAAGAAGGACTCGATAAAATACAAAAAAAATTAAAGTCCATCATCAAGATAGAGTTTCTCTCAACTAAAGAAAGAATAATGAAGCTGATGATATGTTATCCACCCTCGACATATTCATTTTCAAGTCCGCCCATGATACTGATATGTTCTACAAGCTACTAAGGAATGAGGCCCAGATCTATGTGCTTGGAGGTATGACCATCAATTGGTTTTTATGATGATCATTGATGAAGCATCAGTTATGAAGATAACAACTCCATAGGTCAAACAAATTATGGAAGTTGAGAGTTCTCAGGAATATGGAGAGTTGATTTCAACTGTTAAAGTAAAGTTTTTGATGATGGAACCTGATCAAGAAGATTTATCAAGACTAATCAGTTAAAACATTTAAGTTCCAATTGAAGTTCTAAATCATTGATGTATCCAGCATGAGAACTTAAAGATATAAATTTGTGAAAGTATGAAAGCTCGCCTTATCACGTGCTTCACGTCTTAGAATGATAAGTTAAAATGTTAAAGGTAAAAATTAAGTCTTGGCGTACTATGGCAATTACACACACTTTTTTTCCCTTCAAAACCCTCTCTTATTTCATAAAATCTATTGAAAATCTACCTAGGCTTATATTTAATTAATTAAGGAGTATTGCTAATCAATTATGGAAGTCTTTTCACTACCTAATCGATTAAGGAATTGATACAACCAATTAGAGAAATTTAAATGACCTCTTAATCGATTAGAAAAGATTTTAATCAATTAATACATATAGTCGTTTTATGGTTTCCTATTTTGTTTGTTATTGAAGGTTCCTGGATGAATCATATAAAAATCTCATGTGTGTTTAATGGAAATATCAAGAGGAAACTCTTAGGTACATGCGTAGCCAAGTGGTTAAGTATAAACTATATAAATCTATGGTGCACTCTCTATCTTTTTTTGATGTTATTTCTGTTGTATTTTTATTTTAATATCCATCTTCTTTCTTTATTTTGGGTTCCTTATCTCTGTGCAATTAGTAAAATCAAAATAATTGTTTCTAATAACAAAGTTTCCATAAATTGGTCACTTTTTAATTAACACAATTCACCCCCTCTTATGCTTGAAGTCACTTGGCTAACATGGCCAATTTGAACGGGCACTAGATTATGAATAAGCCTTCTCGCAATTGAATCACACTATCTCCAAACCCTTGGTTCTTTCAAAACCTATAATCATGGAGACCTTAATCATATACTTTGAAGTGTCGATAAAAGTAGGTTGTGTTATCTTTTTGAGGAAGGTATGTACCAACCTGATCCCAATCTACTTTATCTCCAAATATTTGCTTGGACTTGAAACCCAATATAAGAATATTGAGAATATTTCCCTAGTTTTGGTGGTAGCATCAAGAAAACTAAGGCGATATTTCTAAACCCACTCAATAGTGGTCGGCAATGGCCAACCATTGAAGCAAGTACTACTCTGGATAGATTGGGGGGGAGGAATGTTAAAGTGATCCATCGAGATCTTCAAGTTTGATATCTCTTTTGAACCCATAAAAAGCCTTAAAGTTCAAATACTTTCCAATTTTACTGTATAACTAACACCGACCAAAGTTGATCCTTACACAAAGTTGATCATCTCCAATTACATGTAATCAAACAACCAAGGGGTCTGAGTCATCCTCATCCTTAAGAGAAACGATTAGCTAGTAGTAGAAGTCTCTCTCTACTTTTACTTTTCCACCATCATCAATCAAGATGAATATAAAGCCTTCAACATCATGTTCACTTTAGCATCAGAAATCAGGGCAAAAAATAGTCAAACTATGAAAAAATTCATATCTAATGGTCTCGTAGGTCAGAGGGGACACAAAAGGCAAAGATTAATTGTCATGAGTATGTGGTTATTGTCACGGTGAAAAAATTGATATTAACCTATTGACTAACTTAACTCACAAAATTAATAAGAAATAGTCGCCACCGAACTTTATTATTTCCAAAGGAATGGGAAAATATAGATAAAACCAAAAAAAGAGAGATCTAGGTACGGGGATTGGTTATGCAAGGGGCAGGTATTAACACCCCTCATATCTTCGGTACTTCATAGGAACCTCTTGAAATTTTGTGTTAGGCTAAAACGGTTGTTTGCAAAAAGATTGGGGAGATGGGAAAAGAAGTATTTTTTTTATTATTTTTAGTTTGCCAAGACTTCGAGAGACACGCGCCTATGTACCCTCCATGTGAAATGAAGAAGTCATAACCCCTTAGTTCTTGTAAAAAGAATAAAATGGTGTTTGTTTGATTGATTTTGTTGAAAAGATATTTCATCATTTTCGAGTGGAAAACTCAACTTAACACCCACAAGTATGAGAAAGTGGACATTTGCATCATTAATGTCTTTTTTTCCTAATTATACATGTTATTTCTCTGAATATGATTGGCATACATTTTAGTAAAATCAACTTGGCAGCAACATGTTGAACAAGATGTTCCAACTTGTAATTTTCAACATGTCGAGTAAAGATGTCCCAACCAGGAGATAGGACATCGTGTCTGCAACAACTGACAATTATGGTTCAGTTGATTTGTTAGCTACTGAATATTCAGGGAATATTTAGTTAGCTTATGTGGCATCCAAGATTGACAAATCAGAATAGTTTATGTTGGTTTTCAAAGATATGCTTAGTTTCTAAATATGGAGACATTTTAGGAAACTAATTATTGAATACCTATTTTCTTGGAGAAGAATTTGCAGACTTTGTGTAGCCTCACTGTTGCATTTTTGAAGCCCAACCCAGTCATAACAATGTTATAAATAGACTGGTGTATACCTAGTATTAGGTGGAACTTACGTGTGTATTTTTGTTAGGGTTTTAGAATCTTTATTGTTGGGTTGTACGTTTTGTGCCAGGTGTTCATAAGCTTTT